TAATACTATACATACATTCTTATTGTATAATCGTTAGGTAGCTAAACTATGTATATTCATGTTCTTCTCACTATAAAGCTTTCTTTCGACTTGTGAACTATCATTATACGATTTACCTGTTCTTGAGTTATGACCAGTATATCAATTACTATCTCTCACATTTGGTTAAATCTTGTACGAGTGTTATTTTCTATTCTATTGGCACGATGTGGTCTGTTTGGTTGGTATATAAACCCAGTGTGTTTGAAATACATGATTCACATCACGGAGGCTGAGTTTGGTGTTCTGGACTAAGTAAGACGGGAAGAAGAAAGACCGATAAGGACTATAGATTACTTGTACGGGTTTATACGTCATTGGTCCTATCGACTATTCACTGTTCTCTAATTGGCGGTATCATTACGTTATATATAAAGTGATAGGGGCAACAAGATCAACAACTAGATATGACATCAAATCTAAATTTTATACCATACACAATACTTTTAGATATATACACTATTACATATTGTATTGAATTCACATGTAATTCAATGATATTCCTATAGACTAACTTGAGAATACTTAAAATTAAGAAATCATAGTTAATGTATGGGATAAACTAATACAAGAAGCTAGACCACCACGAAAATATTGGATGCACTGGACGGCCGTTTCATCCTATTGTGGGACTCCTCAGAAGTGCTTCCAGGTTTTTCATGATGGTCTAGCTTCAACTGACTCATAATCTTAATCATTGAAATGATTATAATATCCACAAAAGTCCTTCTGATATTCATATAAGAAGCTTAAATCTTCATTGGATAGTCCAAGAAATTGTAAACTTGTCATTTACTGAATGTTTGTTTTTTTTTCTTTTCAAAGGAATATCAATAATGAATATCACTAGATTTAACGTACAATATTATTTACTTACACCATATTACCCCTATCGAGAGGAGCAAAGGTCATTAATCAGCACTTTCTATCCAACTTTATCTTGGGAAATCTTTTTCAATTCTTTTCAATTGCTATTCATCTTTCTCATATCTCCTTCCAATTCCTGGAATTCATCTCCCCTTGATCGTAGAAATGACTAAGAAACAAGAAGAAAAACTATAATCATGCGAGTTTGTGGGTGGATATGCTCGGTGGTGTTGTGAAAATCAATAAAAAACATTCTCATACTATAAATCTAGTTGAGAATATCATCACCGGGTGTTTTTCACCCTCACGCGCTTGATAAGTCATCTTTTTTTTGTGATGAAAAACAACAACAACAGTAAGTTATAATGTAATATTTTCACCTAATTTATTGATACAAATTATGTATGATTAGTATGCTAATATTAATTATGACAATCAAATCAATAATCTATTCATAGTGTGGTCTATACTACTGATGCCAATAGATATAAGTAGTATGTATCATGATTTGAAAGTGAAATACCTGGCGGTAGAAGATCAAAGGAAGCAAATTGAGAACAAAGAATATTTGGTGTGGAAATGAAGGAACAGCTAAGTCTGAGACGATTAATGAACTATTTATTGTATAGTTCTCAGATTTCAGTAAGTGATTCTATGATTTTATATTCACATATGTTTGATTGTCCACACTTGTGTTCACCTTCACCAAAACAGCACATATTTCATTAGGAGATGAATATTGTCAGTTATATTGTTGATACTAATGTGTTTTGTGCTACTGATATCGATAGATATAAGTAGTATGTATCATCATTTGAAAGTCGAATGCCTAAAGACAGGAGATTAAGAAGATTGAAGAGAAGAGAAGAGAAGAGAACAAAGAATGATTGATGTGGAGATAAAGGAACAATGAAGTTCGAGATAATTGATGAATATTTTATAAATGAAGTATTTACTGTATGGTTTACAGATTTTACCAAGATAATTTGTAATGCTGTATTCAAATATAGTCGATTTTCCGCAATGTGTTCTACTTCACTACAATAACACAAGAGATTAGGTATAGTGTAATGGCTGTGGTTCGTTAACAAATCACCCTCGTAACCGTTACCATACAATCCTCAACGATGTTTGAAATCAGAAGGTGAAGAGAAGCAGCGACTACAGTTTTATTAGCAGATAACTCAGACCACAAAGCAGTGAGGCAAATGAATGAGTCAGCGAATCGAGAGTGTACAGTGTGTCGAGTGTAAATGTACATGTATATATAAAGGGAGATGAATGGATCATCGAATCAATTAAGCCGTTAATAATAAAGCTAGCAGAATGAATATATGTGTAGGCGGTAAGCAATGTTCAAGCATACATATTTCATACAAGCACAACAATAATAAAGTTACAATAAGTTGCTATAGTACGGATGACTTTGTCAGCTAAATAAGTTAACTAAAGGGCTTAACTCTGAGTTAAATGAGAACAAACTCAATTGCACGTGAGTTTCTATAATAGGAAATGCATTTTTGGTTTAGAAAATAATGTAAAGGGCAAGAGTCAATTCGTCCTATTTGATACTTGTTAACTGGATGTGCCTGCATTCGAGAGTTAGTGTTCACTTCTGAACTCGAAACCAGTATCGTTCATTTCAACTAACGCAATCGCGTTATCCACTTGGTTACTGAGTGACAGATTTTACTACGGTATTCTGTCATTTGATGACGAAATACATTTGGTTGTCCTCATTTGTGTTCTCGATCACTGTAATAGTAGATCTGTTCAAATCTTAATTAAATACATTTCATAAGATTGAACAATGTGTGACATAACGATATAAACATTTGTGTAATTCTTAAAACGAGGACTCATATTCGATTCTCAGTGAATTCCTCTCTGCCTCATCAAATATCATCATCATCATCATACTTTTCTACTTGTTTGAATTCAAGTGAATTATGCAAATATCGATGATACATTTTGATGTAATGTGATGTGATGAATCGTAAGTGTAACTCGTAGGACCATCTCACAAAGGATTCCTGTCTATATTTTCATTGTAAAATTACTAGAAGATTAGACTGTTATATTTTTATATTCTCCTATCTCTAGACTTTCGTTTGACTAATAAATCCCTGTTACGTCTTATTGTTCCATTGTATCACTTATGACTGAGTTGTGTACATTTTGTACTTCAGCGATTGTAATGCTCTATGGTCAGATATTTTATGTTTGTTATTGTATAAGCCTTGAATTATGATTGAATAGAGTACAATAGAGAAATAAACTAGTTTATATCTAGGATATCCCATACACACCAACAAGTGAAGATGAAGACAACCACTGTAACATCAGTAGGTCCCAACTTACACAAGAGAAAAAGTAACACCCTCAAATACAACACGCAAAACATCAAACCAATCACACTTGATGGAGAAACTCTGGGAGAGGTGAAATCTTTCACATACCTGGACAGCACCATCGATCAACAAGGAGGATCTGATGCAGATGTGTTAAATGTATATCAACCATTAAACACCAAATTAGTTTTCATAAAGTTACTATCCTTGAATTGAATTTTCAATTTTGTAATGGTTATGAGCTAATGAGAAGTAATCGACAAAACTCGAACATCACTTCAAACCTTTTTTTGCATGTTATCAAGTTGGAATTTGTTACTTAAATCTTACACTAAAGAAGAAGCAAGTAAATTTTAGCATTTGGTTAACTTGAATCGATTATTTAAAACGAATATATACACATATATATGTTGTTTTCAATTAGTTCCTAGACGAAATACGCCCCCAAATGCCTTGGTACGGCCGAGGTTGTGGAGGGTCAGCTCTCTCTCCGCGTATTCAGCAAATTTTAGGGAATTCCTACTAACTGCATTCTGGCACTTCGGGTGTTGTTAACAAAATTAAGAGGATGAAAAGCAAATGTCCGGCGGGAGGTTGAAACGGGTTGGTAGGAACGGAGGGTCCATTTATGAGGGTTAAAAAACCCTGATGCCAAATCAATGGGCTCCAGGGTACTGAGGAAACAAATGCGGTACAAATCAATCCTTCGTCATCGGCTAACAAGGGACCGTATCTTCTGATGTTGCTGCACTTCCTTGTAGATCAGAACTTTAGATCGAAGGTTTCGGGCGTGTGCCCATAAGAAAACCACCTGCTTCGGTTTGGGCACCAGGGTAGTATCTCGGCCCGGATACAAATCAAGTGACTTGTGTGACACATATGTATTCGGTACCCCTTTGTACCAATGTTTATGTGTTCAAATAATCATAGAATCATTGATGAAAAGAAGCAAGCTATACATTAGAACCATCGTCTTTTAATGTTTAATAAAATGGGAATATCTATCAGTTTCGATAATTTTTCCCTAATTTCTCCAGTGAATGAGTACTATATGAAAGAATATAATTTTCACTAGGGATTTCATTTAATCAGATCGGAGATATGTAGAGGCTGTAGTAATTTTAGTAGTCGAATTCATGTGTCGCTCTGAGCTAGATCACTATTCAGAACCTAAGTGGAAACAGTTATCTATGTCAGACAATGAATGAAGAGTTGAGTGAACTCATAGATCGAATGAAGTTAGACACTGACACCGGCTCAGTGATCTAAAATTTAAACCTTCGTGTGTGAGAATGGGTCCGAATCCCGCATGCGGATCGTGGTTGCGTATTGCTTCCAGGTTTTCAATGGTGGCCTAGGTTAAATCAACTCATGAATTGAACTATTAAGGTTTCATTTTAATCACTTAAGGTTATCTTAATATCTAAAATCTATGGACATGCCATTAAAGCGCATCTCAAATTGTCGGATGAACAAAATAAAGTGAATGTTGGGGCTTTCATTGAAATCCTCAATGAGTATTACACTTTCTTTATATGCAGCATTCACTCAATAATTCGATAGAAAAATGTTAGATATTGAACACATCATAAACATTGAAACGCAGCTATGCTAAAAATTCATAGACACTCATCCTATCCCGAATGACTGATATCTACCTGTTGAACTAAATTCCACAGTCCATCAAACTAGACATGTATGATAATAATTAAGATGATAATGATAATGATAATGGTAATGATAATGATAATGATGATGATGATGATGATGATGATGATGATGATGATGATGATGATGATGATGATGATGATGATGATGATGATGATGATGATGATGATGATGATGATGATGATGATGATGATGATGATGATGATGATGATGATGATGATGATGATGATGATGATGATGATGATGATGATGATGATGATGATGATGATGATGATGATGATGATGATGATGATGATGATGATGATGATGATGATGATGATGATGATGATGATGATGATGATGATGATGATGATGATGATGATGATGATGATGATGATGATGATGATGATGATGATGATGATGATGATGATGATGATGATGATGATGATGATTTGGATGATGACGATAATCGATTTTGTATTTAATAAATTAAGAACATGTATTATGTATGTTATTGACAGGATTCATTCCTTTTTGAAATGTACTCCGGACATACAACAATGTGTATGAATCAGTGTACAATCAGAACATTACCAAACTGATATCATGATTCGCTGAGACTATAATTTATGGACGAACCAACTAGATTTAAGATAACAGGTCTTGGATTTCGCTGCTAAATCAATCTATCAATTGGGCTACACAGTATTTTAGCATTATAGCTAATATCAGTTCATGATGGAAAACTCTAAATCTAATTCCTAACCCCTAACTATCAATTATAAATCATAATGTTCATTGCTTCATACAGATTTATAATCCTTATTTAGCTCTAGTAAGTAGGTGAACATTCTAATGGTCACTTTAGAGTCATTCAAAGATCGTCCATAAATTAGAGTCTCATCTTCTATGACTAATACATGAATCACAGTTAAATTTTCATGATATACATATAGGTATAGATGAATAATTGTGTTACCGACCTTTTGGACAAAACAAAAAGTAAACTGACTTATGGAAATAACATCATTATTTGTATTATTGTTGTTGTTGTTGTTATGGTTAGTGTGATTGTGGTTGTTGTGGTTGTTAAATATAAAATAAATTTCTTAAACTGAGTTTAGATTAAAGCCAAAGGTGGACAGTTTTTGTAAAATAGATGGTATAGACGGAGAAAGTAAGTCGACCAAGCCCTACTCATGAAGTGTCGAATGTGACTAACTAACCTGTAGACCACTAACCTGACATCCAACAGTGTTAATGTCTAACTTCAACTTATCCATAGAATTGCTCGGCTGTCCACCATTGTCTTCAGTGAGTAAATATCACACAACAGACCCGATTGAGTTCCACTAGTCAATGATTCTCACTAGAACTCCAGGAAATACCTCATGAAGCTGGCCATTAGTGAGTATATGCTGAGATGGATAGTGGATAGCACTAGAATCCAGGACGCGAGTTTCGTCCTATTTGGGACTTGTCAGCTGGATGTACCTGAATCTCAGAGTTGATGTTCATTCTGCGATTCACACCCAGCAGCGTTCGATAGCCGCCATCCATCTTTGCTTATAATGCTTATAAATTAAAGTAATATAGAGGTAATCCGCACTGTATGCACATATACCAATCAATTACAGTCCTAAACATCAATGGGAAGATTCAAGTAAAACAATACCAATTTGCTGATTAGTATCAGCAAATTAATTGTTGAAGGAAAATATTAGAACATTAGAAGACATTCAACAGCATTATAAACAGAACTGATGGTGGGTAACAGTGGAATACAGGACGCGCGTTTCATCCCATTTTTGACGCGTCAACTGCATGTAACAGATTAATCAATTTCAGTCGCAAACATCAATGGGAAGATTTAAATAACCAATGCAAAATGAGTTGTTTTGCTATGTTTTTTTCTTTGTAGCACTTATAATCGTTTATGGATAACGATCGAGTGAGTTCGAATTTCGCGAAGTGAGGTCGTAGATACACACTGTTGATGAGTCCCACAATAGGACGAAACAGCCGTCCAGTGCTTCCAGGTTTTCCATGACGGTCTAGCTTCAATCGACTCATGATCAAAAACATTGAAATGTTAAAAGAGGATTAGAATTAGGTTATAAGTTGATTACAGATAGCTATTTTATCAGAATAACAATTCTAGTCAATTTGATAGGTAAGTCAAATAAAACTAACAGATATCATGGGATTAAATTAAAGTATGTTAAATGTGAGAAACTTACTAGTGAGACAAAATAGTAAACTATCTTATTCTGAACGAACGGATGATTAGAAACTAAGGGGCATAGAATTGATAATAAGGGCTTTGTATAGAAAAAGGTTAAGAACCAGGAATTCCTGTATAGCTGTTACGTCATATTAATACTCAATTGTTAATCTATTTATATTGAGAGTCAAGACCTATGGAATTTCATACAAATAAGTTTTGTAAGTGAGTCTATGATTATCCTTTGTCAAAGTTTCTAGAAGCCTAGAAAACATTAGGAAATGCATAATTTATTCAGTATTGAATAGATGCTTCTTAGATATATCTAAAGAAATTCTGTGTACAGAAGATTCCTGAAGATCAGGGTTATATGCAACTTACAATGTATTCTTGATTTCCTGAATATTTACCAAAATTGGGGTAGAGCTTTTAAATTTTGCACCTTAACTCAATTGTTAGAGTTTACTTGTCAAAGTAGTATAGGGTTATAGGACTTACTTACGTACTGACTTACGCTTGTTACTCCGAAAGGAGCATAGGCTTCCGACCAGCATTCTCCAGCCAAATCTGTCCAGAGTCTTGCTTTCTAATTCTATTCAATTGTTGTTCATTCTTCTTATGTCTGTCTCCATATCTCGGTGTAATGTGTTCTTTAGTCTTCCTCTCCTCCTTTGGCCTTGAGGATTACAGATAAGAGCTTGCTTTGTGACGCAGTTGTGTGGTTTCCTCATTATGTATCATATCCACTTTCAGCGCTTCTTCCTATTTGGGATTATAGGAAGTGGCTAATTAGTTAGCAGTAAGTGTTTCCGATAGCAAACTTACCAACCTGGTGTCCAGTCTATCAGAATAGTGATATTCGGCAATCTTTGATACTTTACAATATCCACTGGTAACATTTGTCTCATACTAAGCCTAAGAACTGAATTGAAGTATAGAACATGATCCGTATAATGGTTTTTTTGTTAATCAATAGTTTTTCTGAAGGATTACGAACTTCAAAAGACCTATCAAGCTAGACCACCATGAAAAAACTTGAAGCATATTAACATCTTTGAATGCTAGCCAGCTCATTGTTCTAGCGGTTAAGCGTTCATACATTAGACTTATGGTTCCTGGGTTCAAATCTCTCGTGGTTGGATCGTAGATGCAAACTGTTGAAGAGTCTCATACTAAGACGAAATGGCCATCCACATGAATTCAATTATTGAAAGCAAATTACTGAAATTTTCACAAAACCCTTGTTTGATAGATTATTAATTTGTGATATGAAAATCATACAAAAAAAAACTTGTCTTTTGCTTAGCAACTAATGATCATGCCAAAACCATTAAAGAAAGAATTTACTTATGTGATTAATAAGAACAATAATAGTATCAATCAATGAATTGTGCATGATTATTGATTTTGTGCAACGTGTATAAAAATGAATAGAACCATTCATTATGTTGTTTTTTCTTTGTATTTTGTCTTAACAAGAATGAAAGTTGACATGTTCAACAAATTCATCTATTGTTTCTTTAGTCTTAGATTATGTTCTTTATGTAAACATCGACTAATCTTTTATGTGTTGAAAGTATTGCCTTAAGGTAATTGTCTTAATTCATAAGGTAGCAGTGGAATCCAGTTTGACGAGCGTTTCGTCCTATTTGGGACTCGTCAGCTAGATGCAACTGTATTTTTTTTAAACAAACTGCACTAAGTTAGAGTCCCAGAGTGAAAATCAACAAGTTTTAGGATGCAGGTATAATAAGCTGGCTTGTCCTGAATAATGCGAAACACGCGTCAAACTGGAATCCATTGCTAGCCACTATCCATCTTTGCTTTGATTATTGTTATTGAGGTTTCAGTAGACTATTAATTCACCTTATAGGGATTGCATTATATCCCATTACTGTTATTATTATGTGTACATAATATGATTCCATTCGTTTTTGTATTTAGTTCTTTGACATTTACGTTATTCCTGATTGATCTCAAACTTTACCTTCATTTTATCATTTTGTTATTATATGGGTGAATACAGAATATCAATGGTTACGATCATGAGACAGTTGAAGCTAGACCACCATGGAAAACCTGGAAGCAATGGTCGGTCGTTTCGTCCTAGTATGGGACTCTTCAGCGGTGCGCATCCACAACCTCGTCCCCTGCGAGGTCCGAACCCATGACCTACTGGTTTCGCGCACAAGCATTTAACCATTAGACCATTGAGCTGGCATACAACGGTGTTAATGCATAACTTCAACTAATCCACGAAATTGGGCGACACACCCATGCGCGAAACCAGTAGGTCATGGGTTCGAATCTCTCAGCGGGCGAGGTTATGGTTGCTCACCGCTGAAGAGTCCCATACTAGGACGAAACGGCCGACCATTGCCTCCAGGTTTTCCATTGTGGTCTAGCTTCAACTGACTCATGATCTTAACCATTGATATTCTGTATTCACCCATATAATAACAAAATGCTGGAGAAACTCCGAAATAGGTGGAAACATTCACATACCTGAGCAACATAATCAGTGAACAAGGAGGATCTGATGCATACGTAAAGGAAATGATTGGAGAGGTAAAGACAGTATTTCAACAACTGAAAAACTTATGGAACTCAACAAGAACGCCAACCAATATGAAAGTCAGAATGTTCAATACGAATGTCAACACAGTTCTACTGTATGTAGTTGGAACTTGAAGAATTACCGCAAGTATTATCAAAACGGTACAAGTGTTTCTAAACATTTGTCTACGTAAGATGCTGAATGTCCGTTGACCGGATACCATCAGCAACAACCTACTTTGAGAGAGAACAAACTAGCTTACAACTGAAGAAGAAATTAAGAAAAGACATTAAAAATGGATAGAACATACATTGAGTAAATCATCAAACTGCAACATGAGACAAGTACTTACCTGGATTCCTGAAGAGAAATAGAAAAGAGGAAGACTCAAGAACATACTTCTTTGGGAATCGGAAGTAGACATGAGAAGAGTATATGGAAACTGGAAGCAAATTGAAAGGATATGCAAAAATCACAATGATTAAAAACGACTGGCTGTATCACATACTAAGATGAAATCAACCATCCACAATAAATGATTCCACATGAGATTCCATACAGTAAATTCATGCTTAAATCAAAGTGTCTTGATTTCTACACCAATGAATTGAATTTCAGAAGCTCAACTTTTTATTCTTGTTATTAAATGATCACTACTTGAAATGAAGAATGGTAAGCTGTAGGTAGATCCAATTTAAGGGGTTTTAAAATTAGATGAGTATCATAACTTTCTATGACTTATTTGCTGATATAGTCATCTATGCGTCCAAACGCCGTGATACAGCCAAG